AACTATGGGCTTATCATATATGGTGTTTATTGTGTTGAGGTACATTCCTTCTATACCTAATTTGAGAATTTTTATCATGAAAGGATGCTGACTTGTTAGATGTCCTTTCTGCATCTGTTGAGATGATCATACAATTTTTGTCCTTCACTCTGTTAATGTAGTATGTCACATTTTTTGATTTGCAAATATTGAACTCTCCTTGCTACCGAGGGATAAATCCCACTTGATTATGGTGAATATTTCTTTTAGTGTGCTGTCGAATTTGGTTTGCTATTGTTTTTGTTTATTTGTTTTTGTTTGTTTTTTACTGAGGATTTTGGCATCTATTAATATGTTCATCAAAGATATTATCCTGTAATTTTCTTTTCTTGAAGTGTCCTTGTCTGGTTTTGGCATCTGTGTAATGCTAGCCTCATAAAATGAGTTTGGAAACTTTTCCTTCCTTTTCAGCTTTTCGGAAGAGTTTCAGAAGGATTGGTATTTGTTCTTCTTTAAATTTTTTGTAGAATTCAGTAGTAAAGCCCTGAGGTGCTGGGCTTTCTTTGATGGGAGACTTTTTATTACTGATTCACAATCTCCTTACTGGTTAATGGTCTGTTCAGATTTTCTATTTCTTCACGATTCAGTGTTGTTACATTGTATATATCTAGTAATTTATCCATGTCTTCTAGGTTATCCAATTTGTTGGTATACAATTGTTCATATTAGTCACTTATGATCTTTTGTGTTTCTGTAGTATCAGTTGTAATGTCTCCTCTTTCATTTCTGATTTCATTGATTTAAGTCTTCTCTCTTTTTTGTAGTCAAAAAACTAGAGGTTCGTTGATTTTTGTTTCTTTTTGAAAAATTGACTCTTACTTTTGATCTTTTCTGTTGTTTTTCCAGTCTCTATTTCTGCTCTGATCTTTATCATTTCCTTCCTTCTACTTACTTTGAGCTTAGTTTATTCTTTTTTTTCTACTAGGTCTTTTTTGATGTAGGCATTTATTGCTAAAAACTTCCCCCTTAGAAGTTCTTTTGTTGCATCTCATAAATGTTAGTATGTTGTGTGTCCATTTTCATTGGTCTCAAGATATTTGTGTGTGTATGATACAGGGTCTTGCTGTCAGCCAGGCTAGAATGTGATCACAGCTCACTGCAATCTCCAACCCCCAGGCTCAAGCAATATTCCTGGCTAAGCCTCCTCAGTAGCTAGGACTGCAGGTGCATGCCACCAAGCCTAGCTAATTTTTTATTTTATTTTTTGTAGAGATGGGGTCTTGCTATGTTGCCCAGGCCGGTCTTGAACTCCTGGCCTCAAGTAATTATCCTGCCTTGGCCTCCCAAAGTGCTGGGATTACAAGTGTGAGCCACTGTGCCAAGCCTCAAGATATTTTTAAATTTTACTTTAAATTTCTTCTTTGACCTGTTAGTTGTTTAGGAGCATGTTGTTTACTTTTCACATATTTGTACATTTTCTGAATTATTTCTGTTATCGATTTAAGTTTTATACCATTATGATCAAAAAAGATACTTGAAATAATTTCAGTCATCTTAAATTTGTTAAGACTTGTTTTATAGCCTAGCATATAACCTATCTTGGAGAATGTTCCATGTGTATTTTAAAAAAATGTGTATTCTGCTACGTTTGGATAGAACGTTGTGAATATGTCTCTTAGTTCCATTTGGTCTAAAGTATAGCTCAAGTCTAGTATTTCCTTATCGATTTTCTGTTCAGATTTTCTGTTCTGTCCATTGTGGAAAGTGGGATATTGGCGTCCCCTACTAATATTGTATTGCAGTCTCTCTCTCTCTCTCCCTCTCTCCAGACCTGTTAATATTTGCTTTATATATTTAGGTGCTCTGATGTTGGGTCCACATGTATTTATAATTGTTAAT